TTTCTCGCGAAATCGGGTTTATGACATTTGGGTAGACAACTCTTTTCCTTTTGGGAATTGGGTTTGGAATTTAAAAGAGTCGCCACCTAATGATTAAGTGCATTAGGACACTAAAAATGAATTTGATTTAGAAAACTAGAGGTTGGGTAAGGGCTTGAAATTATCTCGAGGGGAAGGTGTTAGGCACCCCTCAAGATCCACTATGGTGGTTCCTAGCCATGCTACAATTGTGACTTCAAATACAAACAACAAGTAATCAAGCAAGCATTGTAAATACTAGGTAACTTTCACATAACGATTGCAAATAAAAGAAGTACAAGAGGTTTAAAGAGTGCTGAAATTTGGAAGAAGGTAGTTTTTTAATTAAAGAAAGATACACAAGTAAAGGAGAAGGGGTCAAATAAGTAATTCGAAAAAAAGTGAAAGAGGCGGAAGTTTGGGGACAAACAGCATAATAAGTACAAGTGATTGAAGTAAAAGAAGAAGTTAAAAGAAACTGAAGACTAAACAACTTTAAAATTCTGGAAAAAGGAAGTAAACAAGTAAAGAGGGAGGGGGGGTCCTAAGTTTATAAAAAAAAACGGATCACCCTACACAACACCCGGTAACCATTTATACACGTGGTGTTATCGCGTGGTCATCATATGCATGTCTACCCTTACCCACCCCGTTAAGGTATTAAATCGCGGAATGGTCTCGTTACTTATTGCATGCTATTACCCGTCCCAATCCTATCAGCCCCGGAGGTATTAGGGACTACTAGTCCTAAAGGGGAGGGAAAATTGGCTTTTAGAGTTTAAAAAGGACAAAAGTCTAAGGCGACATTCAATACATACATGACAAGTATGGGGAAGCACATAACAGACAAGGCCCAAACAAACCTCCTTAAAACATAAAGAACATATAGTTTTGGCATGTCTTTCAGATACTGATTAGGTCTTTAATAAAACTTAAACGTTAGGGCGTGGCTGATTTATCACATATATTCAGATAAGAAGTCCAAATTAGGCCTGCCCGCTGGTTGTAATTATTAAAGACCAGTGTAGTTAATTACCTAATGGCTTGCCTAGGTGAGATATATAGGCATGATACCTAGCAATGTGAAGTATACTGATTTTAAAGAAAGCTTTCTGATTATATACAAACATAAACTCTGCAGGTTTTAGGCGACATTACTAATGATTTTAGACTCGTAGATAAAAGAGATGAATCAGATTCAATTGGTTACTCATATAGGCATGATTTCTAAGCGTTGTTGGTTTTAAAACGATTATCAGGATGCAAGAATCCTATAGGCATGGTATCTCGGATGCAACTTGTTATTATTTTAACCTATAGATTGTTTGCCTAATGACATATGTACATGCAGAAGTGCAGAAACTTATAGACATGATTTGTACATGCAGAAGTGCAGAAACTTATAGACATGATTTCTATATGCAGAAGTGCGGAAACTTATAAGCAGGATTTCTACATAAAGTGCAGAAGAACTTATAGGCAGGATTTCTATATGCAGATGCATAAGCGAAAAACAGGCTGTGATTGCAGAAGTAAATACCTAAAGCATGATGTCTACCCGTATGCATACATGAATGACCCTCCCCTTTTTCACTAAAACCCCCATAAGTTATTACAAATTATTACAACCCAGAATGAATAAAAAGAAAAATTACATCAGAAATTAAAGTACAACCAAGGAGAGCCTAATTTAGACTCTAAGTCTGAAACATGAAATAAACCAACTCCAAAGATCTAATTTCCAAAGCCTTTCTCCTTCTTGGGTGTATCATAGTTCCCAGGAGCTTCATGAACTCCGGGCAGTGCTTACACCCAAATAAGTTGCAGAATTGAATTAAAGTGCAGTGTGGAAGGGCCAGCCCTCAAATGTCCAAGTTCAGAGGGAACTCAAGGTCCCAAAGCAAGGCTCATAGGAGGGGGCAGAACTTAGAAACTAGGAATGAGTGCAAGTGCAATAGAGGGGATTCTGGGAAGGCCATGGCAGGCTGGTGGTCATACCCAGCAATTAGGAGTGCTGGCACACCCCTAACCAGCATGTTAGCCATACTGGTTTGGGAGTTACGATCCATTAAGGATCAGGTCCAAACATGAGCAGCAATTTGGATACTGCCATGCCTGGACCTTAACTCAAACACATAAAGGGAATAGGGGCATAGGGATTCACAGTAGAAAATAGGTGCAAAGAGAATAGCATACAGATTAATCACTGAACATGGACAATAACATAAACAGGATTGCAGAGCAGTAAATAAACACATTGGTATGATGGTTGAAACTAAATTAGGACATACCAGTTTCAGAAATAAGCAGAGAAAAAGTAGTAGTAAAGCCCAAATTGCAGGCAAACAGCCAGAAGAAACTCAGATGAGAATGTGAAAGTATTGAAATTGAGAGTGTGAGGTGAGTAGTGTAAGTTGAAGGTGTGTAAAAGAATTGAATTCGAAGTTGTCTTAAAGAGTATTCAATCGTGTCCCTTTTTTTTAAAAAAGTGCAGAAGGGTAGTCCCCCTTTTATAGTGCAGAAGGCAAGTAAGAAAAAGGTAAGAGAATAGTTCACAATCAATCACATAAAGTCTCCCTTTAGTTAAGAGATTCTGATTTCAAACGGGTAGAAGACAATTAAGGAAAGAATTTGATTGAAATCTTTTCTAAAGTAACAAAAAAAGGGTAAATACACAGGAGTTATTTAAGGCAAAGTTCAGTGGTACACGGTTTGTGAGAAATAAGGAAATGGAATCAATCAAACAGCCAGTGAAATTAAAATCACAGGCTTTGTTCGAATGAACCAAGTCAGGAAAAGGTAAAAAAAGGTTCAATTAAAGAAAAATCAGATGCCATCGGAGTCAGACTTCGAAACCTCGAACATCCAAGGTTTAATTTTGGAGGGGGTGAGTATAGACCATCCATGGCCTGAAAAGCCATGGATTCCGGTGGAGTGGTGGTTGGAAAGGGCTGGAGGCGATTAGGGTTTCGACGAACCGTTGAGAGAGTTTGAGAGACGAAAGGATTTCAAAGGCGGCTATCAGAATGAAATGAGGGATTAGGGTAGGTCGTTTGGGGTTAAAATGGTAAGGGGGAATTATAGCCGTTGATCATTTTGATCAACGGTCCGGATTAATAACAGGAACCGGGCGGATTTTTAAATTGGGTGGGGGCCGGGTAAAATGAAATTGGGTTGGTCTAATTAGGACTGTGTCAATTAGGGTTAAAATTGAAATGTAAAATAGGCTATAATTGAAATGAAATGGGGCTAAATGTTAAATAGCCAATTTTTCATTTTTATTTATAAAAAAAAATAGTAAAGATGATTTTAAAAGCAAATTAAAAGTACTGAGCCAGTAAATAATATATAAATATTAATTTAAAAATATTGGAACCAATTTTATTATTATGAAATGCTATTAATCTTAAAAAAGGCTAAAATTGCAATTATAGGCAATTTAGTCTTTAAATACCAAAAAAATTTGTAAAAATATACAAAATTACCTCAACTATATTTTGGTATAAATATGAGAATAAAATAAATTATTCACCAAATAGTTTTGGGAATAATTTCTGATTTTTGTACTGCTAAAATGGACAATAAATTGATTTTAAAAATCTTTAAAAGTTGGGAAAAAATACTAAAATCCTTAGGCATGCTTATATATGCATATATATGTTATTTTGAATGTACTTTGTATATGTGAAAATATGCAGGGAAAAATTGGGTATCAACAAGCCGTATGACTGTAGTCATTTTGTGTTTGGCCGGAGCCATCTTTGGTCCCGAGTGTAGTAGTTTAGGTGTCTATATCGAGGTTATGCCCTTTCAGGAATCTTATAAATGCGATTAGCCTAAACTTCGGGATCGAGTTTATGCCTATAGTAAGGTCTTACAAAATTTTCATGCCTTTGAGGTCTTGCAGTTTGTTGCTACTTGGTACAAGTATGATTCATGCCTTGCTTGAGGTCTTACAGTTTTTGTTGTTGCCTTATGTAGGTCTTACGAGATCGAGTCTGCCCGCTTGGGGTCTTATGGCCTCAGGTTTTTTACTGAATGGCGATTGGCGACAGTCTCCGAGTCATCGAGTATGTTTTGGCTCGGGAGCCGTTACTCGCGAGCTTGGAATTGCCTCATTGAGGGCTTACGATTTTGGAGATTCTGACCCTGAGGTCATGCATTTTCTGAGCTTTTTGACGCCAGTCTCCGAGTATTCGGGACATTTTTTCTTATCTAGAGATATCTTGTGATTTTCGTGCTGCCTTGTTGAGGGCTTACGAGCTTGGAATTCTGACCCTGAGGTCATGCGGGCGCCGAATTATTGACGCCAGTCTCCGAGTATTCGGGGCGTTCTTGATGAAGGAACCATTTTGGCGAAAATGCTGAGTTTCTTTTGGAGTGTGAGATGCTTTGGCAAAAGATATCCTTTGATTACTTGGCACAAGTACATGCCGTCTTGTTGTCGTGGGACCGGCAATATAGGCGCGGTTCGTTCGATCGTTTGTCCCGATATATCATTTAAATATTGGGACCCGGGGGGGGGGGGGGTCTTCCAGTATTCGGTGGTTGATTGTAGAGGAGGCGTCGAACACTCGTCGAGTCCTCCTTGGGTAGCGCGTGGATGTTGCCTCGTTAAAAACCTTGCCAGCAAAACCCTTCCAGGGACAAAATCTGATTGAAGAAAAGAGTGCAATACCTACTCGAGGGCATTCGTGGAATTTACAATCGGATGTCCTAGCAATAATATCGTTTTAGCATCGATACGTTCCAGTTTCTCGGAAGCTGTTCGCCCTCCATGGTGCCGAGCTTATAAGATCCTTTGCCGACTATTCCGAGGACACGGTATGGTCCTTCTCAGTTCTGTCCTAGCTTTCCTTCATTAGGATTTCGTGTGTTGAGAGTGACTTTACTTAGAACCAAGTCTCCGATCCCGGAATACCAGAGGTTTGTTCTCCTGTTATAATACCTTTCGATTCTCTATTTCTGGGCGGCCATTCGGATCAGCGAGGCTTCTCGTTTCTCATCCAGTAGTTCAAGGGCCGTGTCATGGCCTCGTTGTTCGAGCTCTCGGTGGTGTGTTGGAATCTAGTGCTCGGCTCCCCGATCTCCACTGGTATTAAAGCCTCGGCACCGTATACTAATGAGAAAGGTGTTTTCCCTGTGCTTGACTTTGAAGTTATTCGGTATGCCCACAGTACTTTGGGCAGCGTTTCTCTCCTCTTTCCCTTGGCGCTCTCCGGCTTCTTTTTTAAGTTCTGAATGATGGTTTTATTCTTGGATTCAGCCTGGCCGTTTGCACATGGGTGGTAAGGCGTTGGCAGGATTCTCTGGATTTTGTGGTCTTCAAGGAACTGTGTTACCTTGCTCCCGATGAACTGCCTCCCATTATCGCATGTTATTTTCGAGGGGATTCCAAATCGGCCTATAATGTGATCCCATATGAAGTTGATGACTTCGTTCTCTCTTATTTTTTTCGAAGGCCCGCGCTTCCACCCATTTTAAGAAATAGTCAGTCATAAATAAAATGAATTTAGCTTTACCTGGTGCCATTGGCAGGGGGGCGACAATATCCATTCCCCATTTCATGAATGGCCATGGCGATAAGACCGAATGTAGTTGCTCGCCGGGCTGGTGAATCATAGGAGCAAATTTCTGGCATTTGTCGCATTTTCGGACGAATTCTTTGGTGTCTTTTTCCATGTTATCCCAACAGTAGTCTGCTCTGATGAAAGAGTTGTCGGGTAAAGATATGATGGCTAATTTTGACCGAACGGGATGGTTTGAAATGATTGACCGTGCTCTGGTTCCTGAGCTGCCTACATATCCCTGGTCTTACAGGAATCAGGCCGTCTGTAGTTCGGGATCCATCGGTGGGATATGCCGATGGAGATTTTTGAAAAAAACAAACGCGATATCCAGGTTGGGAAGGATGGTCAAAGTCTAGTAGGCTGCGGGAACTGGAGCGGGATCGCTCCTGCTGAGACGGCCGTTGCTAGCCAGTTAACCTGCAAATGAGCAATGCGAACATATATTGTGCATAAATTTAAACGTGATGCAAGTTCCTGTTGGACCATGAATGTTGTCTTTGGACGGTTAGGATGACGTCCTCAGACCATGACGTCCTGGGCCATGAAGTGTATAATAAATGATTCGCATGCTATGAAATGATGTTCTCGGGCTATGAGAATGATGCCTCCGAACTATGATGCCTTTGAATAATGATATGCAAAAGATAAAATGGGGTCCTCAGGCCATGGCATGGCGTTCTCGAGCTATGAAAATGGTGCCTCCAAACAATGACGCCTTCGGACAATTTGGCGATCTTTCAGCCCATGAAATGCAGAAGGTGGCGATCTTTCAGCCGGTGCATGACGTAAATAAAAGGTGGCGGTATTTCAGCCGATGCAGGATTTGAATGAAGTGGCGATATTTCAGCCATGCAAAGTGTAAATAAAACGGCGATCTTTCAGCCGATGCAAGATTTAAATGAAGTGGCGATATTTTAGCCATGCAAAGTGTAAATAAAATGGCGATCTTTCAGCTGATGCAAGATTTAAATGAAGTGGCGATATTTCAGCCATGCAAAGTGTAAATAAAATGGTGATCTTTCAGCCGATACGGATTTAAATGAAATGGCGATATTTCAGCCATGCAAAGTGTAAATAAAATGGCGATCTTTCAGCCGATGCTGATGGAGACAGAGCTTAGTCTCGAAAGGCAGAATAGGTAGCCTTATGCAATGCAGAGAAATGCAGATGGAGACAGAGCTTAGTCTCGGAAGGCAGAAAGGTAGCCTTATGCAATGCAGAGAAATGCAGATGGAGACAGAGCTTAGTCTCGGAAGGCAGAAAGGTAGCCTTATGCAATGCAGAGAGATGTAGATGGAGGCAGAGCTTAACCTCGGAAGGCAGAAAGGTAGCCTTATGCAATGCAGAGAGATGCAGATGGAGACAGAGAGATGCAGATGGGGAAATTAAAAAAAGTGAAAGAGGCGGAAGTTTGGGGACAAACAGTACTGAAAATCAGACAATTAAAAGAGAGATTTTGCATAATAAGTACAAGTGATTGAAGTAAAAGAAGAAGCTAAAAGAAACTGAAGACTAAACAACTTTAAAATTCTGGAAAAAGGAAGTAAAAAAGTAAAGAGGGAGGGGGGTCCTAGGTTTATAAATAACACGGATCACCCCACACAACACCCGGTAACCATTTATACACGTGGTGTTATCGCGTGGTCATCATATCCATGTCTACCCTTACCCACCCCGTTAAGGTATTAAATCGCGGAATGGTCTCGTTACTTATTGCATGCTATTACCCGTCCCAATCCTATCAGCCCCGGAGGTATTAGGGACTACTAGTCCTAAAGGGGAGGGAAAATTGGCTTTTAGAGTTTAAAAAGGACAAACGTCTAAGGCGACATTCAAAACATACATGACAAGTACGGGGAAGCACATAACAGACAAGGCCCAAACAAACCTCCTTAAAACATAAAGAACATATAGTTTTGGCATTTCTTTCAGATACTGATTAGGTCTTTAATTAAACTTAAACGTTAGGGCGTGGCTGATTTATCACATATTTTCAGATAAGAAGTCCAAATTAGGCCTGACCGCTGGTTGTAATTATTAAAGACTGGTGTAGTTAATTACCTAATGGCTTGCCTCGGTGAGATATATAGGCATGATATCTAGCAATGTGAAGTATACAGATTTTAAAGAAAGCTTTCTGATTATATACAAACATAAATTCTATAAGTTTTAGGCGACATTACTAATGATTTTAGACTCGTAGATGAAAGAGATGAATCAGATTCAACTGGTTACTCCTATAGGCATGATTTCTAAGCGTTGTTGGTTTTAAAACGATTATCAGGATGCAAGAATCCTATAGGCATGGTATCTAGGATGCAACTTGTTATTATTTTAACCTATAGACTGTTTGCCTAATGACATATGTACATGCAGAAGTGCAGAAACTTATAGACATGATTTGTACATGCAGAAGTGCAGAAACTTATAGACATGATTTCTATATGCAGAAGTGCAGAAACTTATAAGTAGGATTTCTACATGAAGTGCAGAAGAACTTATAGGCAGGATTTCTATATGCAGAGGCATAAGCGAAAACAGGCTGTGATTGCAGAAGTAAATACCTAAAGCATGATGTCTACCCGTATGCATACATGAATGACCCTCCCCTTTTTCACTAAAACCCCCATAAGTTATTACAAATTATTACAACCCAGAATGAATAAAAAGAAAAATTACATCAGAAATTAAAGTACAACCAAGGAGAGCCTAATTTAGACTCCAAGTCTGAAACATAAAATAAACCAACTCCAAAGATCTGATTTCCAAAGCCTTTCTCCTTCTTGGGTGTGTTATAGTTCCCAGAAGCTTCATGAACTCCGAGAAGTGCTTACACCCAAATAAGTTGCAGAATTGAATTAAACTATTAAAGTGCAGTGTGGAAGGGCTGGCCCTCAAATGTCCAAGTTCAGAGGGAACTCAAGGTCCCAAAGCAAGGCTAATAGGAGGGGGCAGAACTTAGAAACTAGGAATTAGTGCAAGTGCAATAGAGGGGATTCTGGGAAGGCCATGGCAGGCTGGTGGTCATACCCAGCAATTAGGAGTGCTGGCACACCCCTAACCAGTCTGTTAGCCATACTGGTTTGGGAGTTACGATCCATTAAGGATCAGGTCCAAACATGAGCAGCAATTTGGACACCGCCATGCCTGGACCTTAACTCAAACACATAAAGGGAATAGGGGCATAGGGATTCACAGTAGAAAACATGTGCAAAGAGAATAGCATACAGATTAATCACTAAACATGGATAATAACATAAAAAGGATTGCAGAAGCTGTAAATAAACACATTGGTGTGATGGTTGAAACTAAATTAGGACATACCAGTTTCAGAAATAAGCAGAGAAGAAGTAGTAGTAAAGCCCAAATCAGCCAGAAGAAACTCAGATGAGAATGTGAAAGTATTGAAATTGAGAGTGTGAGGTGAGTAGTGTAAGCTGAAGGTGTGTAAAAATATTGAATTCGAAGTTGTCTTAAAGAGTATTCAATCGTGTCCCTTTTTTTTTTAAAAGTGCAGAAGGGTAGTCCCCCTTTTATAGTACAGAAGGCAAGTAAGAAAAAGGTAAGAAAATAGTTCACAATCAATTACATAAAGTCTCCCTTTAGTTAAGGGATTCTGATTTCAAACGGGTAGAAGACAATTAAGGAAAGAATTTGATTGAAATCTTTTCTAAAGTAACAAAAAAAGGGTAAATACACAGGAGTTATTTAAGGCAAAGTTCAATGGTACACGGTTTGTGAGAAATAAGGAAATGGAATCAATCAAACAGCCAGTGAAATCAAAATCACAGGCTTTGTTCGAATGAACCAAGTCAGGAAAAGGTAAAAAAAGGTTCAATTAAAGAAAAATCAGTAGCAATTAGTCAGGCCTTATTAAAAGGATTTCGAAATCAATCAATTAGTTGGCCAAAAACCCTTTTTTCAAGAAGAAATTCTCATATATAAAGTACACAGATATCAAACAAGAAGGAGTTGCCATGCTAATTAGAAAAGACAGGCATAGAAAGGTTAAGAATCATATGCAAAGAGTTTCAAATTCAGTTCATAGTACTTAGAATGAGTATGATAGTCCGGGGTTGCAAAGTAGAACCCTAATCAAACTTGCCAAAGAAACCCCCAAATCCTAGGGTTTCAAATCGAATCAGACATAGAGATGAGAAGGCAAGCCATTGAAACAGAATCAAAGGTCTGTTTCAGAGCCTCATGAGAAACGAAACAGATATGATAGCAGGTTTGAAACAACAAGGAAAGAAAAATTGATTTAAAGCATGAAGAACATGTTTTAAGAAAAGCTCGAAACTTAAGCAAGTTCAGAAGAGAAGGAGTGATACAAACTTAAGAAGCAGTAGATGAAACATGCTTAGCAAAACTCGGACAAAGTCTAGTAAGGCAAACAAAATTAAAGAACTCAGCAGGAAACACATACAATAGAAATCATGTAGCAAAACATAGCAGAGATAATCATGTGAGCCTGGTCTAGAGGCACAGTAAAATACAGATGTATAGAAGAATCATGTATAATAGAAAGAAAAACAGAAGAGCAAACACATGTGTGGTAGTAAAGAAAACATACGAGCATAACACAGACAAACACACATAAATAAAAGAACAGAAAGAATCAAAAAGATATTTTGAAAACCTTTCGGAAACCCTAAATCGAAAACAAACGATTTTGAAAAGAAAATTTGGGGAAAACACTTTAAAAGTCGAGTAAATCACAGATACAACATAGATATAAGAAAACAACAGAGAAAAATCTCGAATAGCTTAGGGTTTCGGAGAAACCCTAGAAATGAGAAAGGCTTGGAAGAAAGTCCGATCCTGAGTCGGATGAGTGAGAATCAGGCTCTTGAGGTTTGAATATGCCGGAGCAAAGGCCGGAGAGGCCATGGAACCAAAGATCTGAGAAGATCTGAAAGAGAACCATCGGAGTCAGACTTCGACACCTCGAACATCCAAGGTTTAATTTTGGAGGGGGTGAGTATAGACCATCCATGGCCTGAAAAGCCATGGATTCCGGTGGAGTGGTGGTTGGAAAGGGCTGGAGGCGATTAGGGTTTCGACGAACCGTTGAGAGAGT